ATTCGAATATCAAATAAATATTTATCGTCTCGTGCGATAATCGTAATACGTGTTCTGAAAATCATGTTTAAATATACCTAATCGATTCGAGAGCAAAGAAAAAACGAATTTACTTTCGTTCACGTACAGCAACTGCCAAGCTGTTTACCAGCTCCATGGAATTTACATTTGCGTAGCTTTACACGTGAGTACCCCAATCCTTGGTATACCTGATACGATACACTAAAAATTTTGATTGAAATTCAAAAATAGAAAAAAATAATCCCACTGGGATATCTCTTGTATCACGTGAAATTCAAAGGTAACCCGTGTACTGCACTTTTCCCATAGATTCGCATGCACTCGGTGCATCGATATGCAGCTGACACGTCATTCCAATTTATATACACGTACGTATACATATATATATATTTGCATAAGAGTATAAGGAAAAAAAAAACATCAACGGAGACACGCAAGGTACTTTTCACGATACGAATAACTCTCGACGTATTCAAAAAGCTTTTTCGTCAAAATAATACCCTTTCAGTCACGCTGCAAATCACGTTCGCTATTCGACGTCATTATTATTATTACGCGAAACAACAGACACCCCAAAACAGCGTTTATCGCGAGATAATTGTTTTAAAGCATAATGCGCCGGTAGCCACGTTCGCACGAGGGATGAGGGTCGAAGGGGGTTGAAATAGCCTGAAACTGGATAAGGGTAGTTTATTCGAAATAGTCAACCGGTAAATAGGAATTAGGATTAGGACGTCACTCCTCGCCGGAAGGGAACCACCCCCCTGGCCCCTGAGCCCCTATCCGGACAGCACTTGGTCAAGAATTAAAAAAAGCGAAAAGCACAAAGCTCGACCCGCTTAGCATACACGTGCTAAGTGGGTATCTGAAAATAGGGGATGATGGGGTGCGATCTAACGTCGTTGGCAAATTAACGACGTGGGGGGGGGAGGCTGGGATATAAAAAAAAAGCCTAAAAAATCGATCTGATAACACGTTATCACGAAAAAAACTCCGTCCTTTGTTATCGGGACACGAATAAGTAGCGAGGTGGTCTGAATTAACCAGCAACAATCGAATTGATTGTTCGTAATTACGGGGTGGGTCGTTGGATGATAAGGCTCGATAAAGCACCGTTATTCTGGGTAGGATCAACCGTGAGGTCTCCGCGTACGGGCGGATCGTAAATGGAGACTCTCGTGATTTAGCGTAACCACGGTAAAGTGCCTTGTATTGAATTCCATTGTTTGGCTGATGGGAGAATTCCCAGCCATAAATGCTAGGGGTGCTTTATGCCCTTGCGTTTCCTCGTAACGCGTCTCATAAATATTGAAGAAAAAGCCGGGCTTCGGGTTCCCAGCGAATATATCGAATCGATGAGCCGTCCCTGACGTCGACGTCGGATTCTAAACACTCCTTAAGCATACATATATATATATGCACACATACGTAAATTTAAACAAGATTTGTTTACCCCTCAGACTCCAGACCCATAGGGGGGTATCAGGGGCGGATGCTGGTGGCAAAATGATCATCGGCCGTGAATACGTCGCGATTTGATTCCGGCTCGTAAAGGCGAATCGTTATTATCGTAAAGGGGTGCGTAAGCTCTATACGGCCCTGAGCGACCTGTACTCGTATTAAGATATACCGTGCGTATCGACGTACCGTTCGTGTCGTTAAAACGATGGATGAGGTTAAAAAAATTTGTTAAAATTTACCTTAACATTTTTGGGATTTACCCTAAACTATTTTACAGGGCCGATACTAGAATTCTGTATCTCGTAATTCACCCCTGAGCCAGTGGCTACGGCGACTTTGACCCTGTCGTATAACGACTGGGGTACTTATACGGCTCGACACGGAGTCCCAGGGCCGTGTGACGCGGGAGCCTAATGTCATTGAATATGGATATGTGTAACGACTGGACCGACGTACGTAGTAGGGTGGTAGCAACCCTCGTGGAATTAATCACTCGACCAGGGATGCTGTGGCGCGTGTGAGACCTCCGTAACGTGCAACCCTTAACGATTATAACCACCTTGCTTTTCTACTAACCTTTCATCCCCCACCCTTATCCTCAGACCCCTACTACTGCCACGTGCCCTCTTTCCGTTCCTCTTTGTTTTCTCCTTTACTTTCTCTCTCCCATTTCCTAGCTACGGCAACCCGGTCTCCTTCCCTTTTACAACTCGCCCCCATTCACGAACCGCTAACGTCTACTACGGCGGTCCAGTGTGCACCGCGACTTCCTTCCCTTGCAACCCCTCGTTATTTTCATCCCCTATGGCAAGGAGCTTGTAGTCGTTATGCAAACTCCAGGGATATTACGAGCCCGCTAGGACTCTTCGTAGCTTAATGTACATTATATGTATAGTTAGGGTTGAGGACCCATTCGAAAATCTATTATACCCTTGTGACGTCACAGGGGCTGCATGTACGTACGCTATCGATAGGGCAGCTTGCGAAAGGGATGAAAGTTTACGTACTTGGCTTTTTTTTGCTTTCGTCGTCACTTCGTGCATCGTGAAAAAAGAAAAGGAAAAATTTCAACCCTTATTTTGAGCGTCGGTCCTAAAAATTTTAAGAACGAACTTTTAAATGAATTTAGATCTCGGCCTGGCTGCTTCTTCTCGTCGTCGTTTAATTAGATGATAGGGATGAAAAATGTCACAATGTATTTTTCACCTAGCAATCGGACGAATGGGCGGGTACGAAAGGGAGGCGAATGACAGTGAGACGAGACAGAGAGTGAAAAGAAAAAATTGAATGAAAAAGATAGCAAGGAAAAAAATTAATATTCAAAATCATTGGCTCTCGAGATATTACAATGTCATTCGCGGGAGTGAAAGCAGTCCCAATCTCTTACACAGAGTAGGTACTGTTGAATTAAAGAAAATTATCCGAGACAAGTGAAATAAAAAAAAAATTATCCAATTCAAAACCACCGTAATAATCTACCCTTATGGTATACAGTATATATAAGATTGTGTATTGAAACGAAAAAATTATCATACGTCAAAAACATCCCTTGGCTAGTGACAGTCGTAATTCCCCAATCGAGTTTCAAGTCCGAGAACAAAAATTTTCCATTTTCTACGTATTATCGTAACTCATCTTTTTTTTTTTTTTTTTTTTTCAACATTAAGACCTTTCTAAGCGTTCTTTCAAAAATATATTAACTCCCTCTCCCTTTAAATGAAAATTCGTTTCCCTCTCTGTCCGTTTATCCACTCCTATTCATCTCATACGTAATATATAGTAATACATACGTTAAGTCTCAAGAGTCGCTACATGCATATCCTTCAGTCATCTGTATAAAACCATAGGCGGATATTCAACGAGCAAAGGATGAAGCCAAAAGGCGTACAGCGACGCGACCGTAAATTTCGGCAAGGAACATAAATACAAGTTTCCAACGAAAATTATACATCTCATAATGTATTCGCAGTCCCTCTTCTGTATATATGCAGGTATAACAGCGATAGCGGAGATACATATTTCGTATAATATTCTGTGGGGTATCCTTTTCGGCCGGGTTATACCGTGCTACAGATAGACGTACAAGCCAGGCGAATGAAAGAAGAAATAAAAAAAAGGATAGCAGTACGAAGAAACCGAAGGGAAAAGGAGCCCAGAACACGTTATACCAATAGTGCACGATATGCTAAATCCATCGAACCAGATATTGACTCTTCGTTTACTATTTCTACATGTCCTTTCAGCAAATCGTGAGGCTCCTGTACACAGCCTGCGGAAGATCTACGAGGATCTCGTGAAATCTTGCGAGGACGAGAGATTTTAGATTTCTATGCGTTACGGGATGAATCTGTAACTTTTGGATCTCTGCAAGGATGAGTATAGCCGGATGCGAGTATCTTTCAGGATATATATATATATATACATATATATATATATTTGTATGTACCTAGTCGAGATCAGCAATATGCGCCTTGCGTTCTTAAAGGCACGTATCGCACTGCGAGCGCTCGGAGATGGTGAACGGATCTGCGAAACGTGTGAATTGCATACGTAGGGGTTTATTTATATATATATATATATATATATATATATATATATAACGGGTCGATTGCATCTATTGACCATCACAATAAACGAGACCGTAACACGGTCTTAATATTTTCATCCCTTGTACAGGTTGAGCTTGGAAGCTTTTACGTAAAGTTAACGAAATTTTCGTACTGATTGACATTCATTAGACCAAAGCCTCCTCTGCCGCCAGAGTGCTCTGGCGTAGCAACGATATCTCGCGGTAGAATTTTGTGAAAAACGCGTTTTACTCGTGCCACGCGCGCAGACTGTGTCTACTGGTTAATTAAGAAGAAAAATACAGTCCTTAAATTTTTTCCAGTTTGTCCGAAGTGAGAAAAAAATAGAGTGACAGGATTTTAAAAATCTGGATTAACTAAGAGAAGAAAGTGGAATGAAAAAAGGCATATATATGTATATATCACAGCTACGGGATACCAAGTAGAGGTATTCATCTGCGCGCCATGACTCTTTGGCGAATTCATCTCAAGCAATTTGAACAGCGAGTCCGAAGGTTCAAAAAACAAATTGGTGTTTCGTTCACGCACTTCCGGTTATTGGAAATGCGACTTGCCCTTTTCCAGCTTTCACGTCTTCCGACCCTTCGGCCTAAATTCACCACCGGCCGATTCTCCTCTCTGGGCTTACTAGTAGTCAACTTCAGTCGGCACCCACTCCCCGTACACGTTCTACGACCTCTTCCCCCTGTACTTATGGGCCACCCTCGTCTTTACTGCTAACCGAGTAAAATAATATTTACCAGGGGAAACTGCGTTACGAACCACCTTCTACCTGAGTCTTGATCGATCGCTGCTCTGCCGCGCATTAAGAGGCTGGCAAACGACACTTTTTCTTCGTCTTCGTCTCTTGCATCTCCGCAGATTTTTGAATCCCCGAGTGCTTATCGGGCGATAATGAAGAAAAGGTAATTTCAATATTTTCACACTCACCGAACGTGGAGACAGGGATGAAAGGCGGCTGGATTGTCCTGTGGCGAGAATTTCGGTAAGGCTCCGTGAAGAAGGGCTAATCTGACCACAAGTAGAACACCGAGCTGTAAAAATAGACACGTGTAAGAAAACATATTATATACATATATATATAAAATTCACAATAAAAATATTACATATTTTATCATTTAACTAAATCCTTTATACGATCTTATCAGGAAAGCTTTCTTCCCTCGATACGAATATTTCGTAGCGACGCACCGAGAGCATTTTCAAAGGAAAGGAAGCGTAAGATAAAATCTTTTCGAGTTTTGGATTATCGGCTGCTCGGTTTCATTTTTGTTGGATTTGTGCTTAAAGCTCCTTTTTTTTTCGTGGCTCGTGCCCCTACGGTAGGATTTCATATTGGTCAACTGTACTGGGACCAAAGCAAAGATTCGAGATTCTGATTTTTCCTTCGAGTCTTTTTGGATTTTATACATACATATATACTACGTTATATAATACAGCTAAGAACTCGAATAGGGACACCGGTGAAAAGCTCCGACAGTATTAGAATGATTAGGCGAGCACATCATTTTCCGGCCGAAAAAAATCGCATGACAGCTAAACTCAAGAATTACGGGTAAAGATGAAAAAAAAATTGTACAATCTCATTCATCGTGACTTTTCGCCAATTTTTCATGACACAGAAAAGGCCAGTCCAATAAATCTCAAATGGAAAGTGAAAAGTAAAAAAAGTCTTTTCCCAGGTCTTTGATCTATTACGAACGCGAGTAATAAGCTTTTCGAAAAACACAAGAGACACATATACCATAGATCCCAGATTTGACTGTACAAGCGAAACACGAATTTTTGTCCGATTATCAATAGAAAGACGGCACAGAGCACTTTTCTAGAAGACGTACGCTCTAACGAAGCGAGAGATCATGGCAATTTGCGAAAAAGATCCTGGGCGCAAGCTCACCAAGATATGCCAAAGGGACTTGAGCGACAGGTGAACCGACTTACTCGTGCAAACACCGAAGAACCGTAGCACGTGCGTTATCTCACATGATAAGACTTTCGAAAGAAAAAGGGCGGTTGGTTACTCCAAAAATCAGCCTTGAGTGAATTTGCGAATTCAAATGATCGATACACGTGTACAAGCATACCGGGGGCTAAAGGGAATAAAATTTTCCAAAGGAATTACGCCCACAGCCAAACCCATGTACCGCGTGCGCCTCTGTCAGGGGACGTGGTTAACCTCGTGGCTACAGGGGGCGAACTACCCCTAATACATGTACACCCAGGAGGAAAAGTATCTCGGCACTCGGTGGAAATCGATTTTCGTCACGTTCTTGGACACATCCCTCGTCACGTTCCCAGGACCACCACCTGGTTAACTCAATAGCCAGGGACGCAGCCCGACTGCCCCTACAGGAACTTATCGCTCCCTTTTCAGAACACTGGAGATACTCGGGTCGAGCAGTAGGAGGATTGTGTACTACAACCTGAAAACAATATCTGCCAATCTGACACGAGTTGTTGATACGAGGATCTAAGGGTGGTCGAGAATTGTGTAAAAGCCAGCAGGACTGCATTAAAGGGTGTTGAAAACTTTTTACGTCATCCTGACAAATCTTATCGAAAAAGAGAGACGTTATAAGCCAAAAAAAGAAAGTGAGTTGTACATTAGAGCATAATTTGCGATCGTTGAGTTTCTACATGGTTATATTATGCCAAAAGCACCCCCTCCGTTATATATCGTACACTGGTTATACAGGGAGGGTTAAAAATTCTTCACTAGAATATAAAGAGGCCTGGGGAAGGTTATCAGACTTTAGAAAGTGGCCGGATGAGATTATTATTTAGGGATAGGGTAAGGGAAGACGTGAAAGAAAGTAAAGAAAAAGAGGGCAGTGGGGTGAAGCTGGGTGAGTCGGGGGTTGGCTTTAAGGGTAGATTGGCCTAATCGTTGCTCTCCTAAACAAAGTTTCATCCCCCCGCCTGAAAGACCTGCTAAGGATCTTCCTATACTCTCTCTCTCTCTCTCGAGCCATCCTTGACCCAGCATCCCTTCAGCTGGACCGTCCCAGCGTAAGGAAAGTCTTATGCAAGATTCAGGCTCGCACTACTCACCGGGTCAATGATGATATTTGAGGAGCCAAAAAAATTCGAACGCGTCGACCTCGACCAGGTTTTAAACTGAATTTACCAGTTGGCATAAGGGTAGGCTATGCCCAGGTTATTAGGGTGGTCTTTTGAATAAGCCACCCCCTTGGCCCACAGTATCGGACTTTATAGGGACCATCCCCAAGACGCCCTCGCTACGGTTCCTTAAGCGTTCCTAAAGCCAGAGGGTTGGTTATATAGTATAAGGGTCTGGGACTATAGGTGACTAGGGGGTGCAAAAAGATCCGGGCATGTAGATGGCTACGTGAGGGTAGGTCGGGCATGTACGCCTTCCTCGTTTCGCGCATAAATTAGCATAACTTCCCAACACGACGCTTATATCATGCCTACTCGTATACGTTACGACGTCGGGACCACCCGGGACGCAAGGGCGTATTAATAATTTCTTGTCGAGACTGGCACTTTTACCTCAAACTAATAATTTGCTTGGTATGAAAAAAAAAGAGAAAAAAAAAACCCCAGAATCCTACTCTACCAACCCTTGTGTGATAATTGTCGAGGGACGTTTTATCCTGGTTTATGGCTGGGCGTCCAAATTTATTTTCCATAATAAAAACCTCGGATTTCTTGGTAATTCGTTCCCCACGGATGGCTTTCCCCGAGTGCCAAAAATTCCTGTGGGAAAGCTTAAAAAATTTTTAAATGCCACCCCTAAACAATTCAGACCCTATCACGGATCAAATCGATCGATTCGAATAGGCCAATTAACGGTACAATAAAGTCATAGTGAAATCCAAGATTATACAGGGCGTTTCAATATATATTCTCCATTAATATATTTTCACCCGGTATATTATTTCCCATGGTATATATCATACGTAAACGTTTCTCTATGCAGATACGTGTTAAAGGACGGAAACGTAGCGTCGCGACGCAGGCGTCGCTCACGAATAGATCTGCCGTGTTCTTTCCAGATGGCACGAGTGCACGTAAACGAGTCTCCGCGATAGAATAAAAAAAAAGTACGAGTGCATCGCAGCCAGGCTATACAGGCTGAAAATCCTGTAGGTCTTCGGTGCATCGACGCTTGCATATACGACCAAGTCGTTGTATGTATAAATATACAACCGTATCGACTAAATTGTAAACTATATATATATATAAAAGGATTCAGATGCATCAACCGTACAGCCAGCGAAGCCCATTAGCTCATACTAATGCACTGCACATGTGCAACGAATGCACCTGCACCTATACGTACAATGGTATTTACGTTGCACAAATTCCTTCAGGTGCATCCTCATAGCAACTGGCACAACTATTCCCGGTTATTTGCTCGCTATCGTAACGCATCAAATAATTTTCCGTGAATCGGATGCACGGAAAGTGCACGCGCGATACTTTTCAACGTTGCACTTTGATATGAAAAATATTGATGCGTCTCATTGCGCCTGACACGTGCAGCGCTCTACAATAACCCAATGACGTATTACTCCGTGACGTAGATGCAACTGTGATAACGGATATCGTTATTCGTGATACGAGGAGCGATATGCAGATGGTATCGGATGAGAACCGGTAGCTGTTATCAGTAATGGTAATAATATTTACCGAGACCAGAAGGGCTGCGGCGCGACGTGAAAAGTGTCTGGATTCGTCGTTCCAGCGAGCCTCGAAAATGGATCTGTAAGAAGAAAAGAATATTAATGTGACGTGGGTGAAGAAATATATATATATATATTTGAGAGATGCTGTCGTCACGGAGAATAAATAACGGGCGTATACGTTAGGGGTGAGAATTAAAAAAAAAAAAAAAAAATCAAATTAAAGGCAAAGTGGGCTAAAGCGAAATATTCAAATTCTCACGACACCTGGACGATACGCAAAGAGCGGCTAAACATGCGATAGGGAAGTTATGGCGATTTGCATGTGAGGGGTAGCCTTTTTTTTTCACGTCCCTTTACAGAACCGCGGAACCGCCCGGTCACAGTAGCCACGTGAAAAAGGAAAAGTCGAGCGTGGAAATCGAGTCCGGCCTTTTTTTGCCGTTCTACGTTAAAATAAAAGAACTTATCGAGGAACCAGTGACGTCATATCTCTGACGAAAGTCATCAAGAGAACCTCTTCGTGCAGCACGAAGGATTTATTAGCACTGCCTATCAATGTCCCGCAGCAATTCGCCATTTTTACTTCCTTCGTCAAAGTGATGTTTTCTTTAATTATTTTTTTTCTTCTTCTCTTTTCCCTCCTCTCTTTCTCTTCGTTCCACCTCGCTCCGAGGAAAACGGCGGAAATTTTTTTGCTCGCTCTCGCATACGAGGGAATCCCCCTTTTAGGTAGGGGAGGGTTGGTCGTTGGAATTTGACAAAAAATTTTCCACACGACGAGCGCGTGTTCTCTTTTCTTTTTCGAAAGAGAAATACTCATTTATTATAGCCACCCCGTATATTACAAATTCCACTATCGATTTTCTAACATGTTTATCTCACGTATGACGACCGTCTGAAATATTCTTTATATACAGTAGAACCTCTCGTAACTTAACGATACGTCCTAAGAATCAATCAGGTACGAGAAACGGTCATGACGTTTCCCCCTCTATCGCTCCTCTGACAAATGAAAATGTTATGACGTTATCCGCTTATCCCCTCCACTTGCCCATGTGAGCTAGGGGAAGTTAAGTTAAGGAAGGTTCCACTGTATTTATATTGTCCAGGACGATCCGCATACGGACTACGTATATTTATGTATATCCTCAAAGGACTCACCTCTTGATCGAATGCCAGGACCTGCATAAGTCGTAAAGTAGATTCAACAGTAAAACCATAACTCCAGTCTCCTTGGCCAACATCGACAATGCACCCAAGCAGACGCTGCTCCAAAGGTACGCAGTCTGTTGGCTGAAACAAGAAAAGCAACAGTTTATCGATACAGTAATTACAGTTCAATCGATAAAATAATTACATACACATAGAGAACATAGTCAATCCCCAATATTCCCATAAATATTGGTAGAAACAAATGAAATTAAAAATTATCATTTCGTGTTTAAAAAAATCTTCCAAACCAACATACAACGCACACTAGACACGCGATACTGCGTATTCACGAATTTCAACAATTCTTTTGGTTCTTCCCTCTAACCCTCCACCACCTCCAGGTATAATCCCTCATTTCACTCTATTACTCTGCACGCCCTTGCGCACCTGAATGCGTGGCTGTGCCAGCGCTGCCAAAAAAAAAAAAAAAAAAAAAAAAAAAAAAAAAA